GGGGTGGGGGAGTGGAGGATACAGACTAGCAAGGAGAAGGAAGGGGATGAGCAAAGCCAAAGGGAACAGATACACAAAAATGGGAAATTATCCATTGATTATAACATGTATAATAGTATCTTTAATTGGACTAATCTATAGTGCATTCATGCTGGAAAATTCATTTTGCAAGCTGTAATAATATACACTGATTGTATATGAATAAATTAATAAATAAAATAATTTTATATATATATAAAAAGGAGCAGATACAGAGGGCCTCTAATCTTTAGATCTACCTTAGTTCCTGAGAGCTTTCCAGTCCTGACTTAGGTATATCCTTGAATAAATCTCCTTTGTCTTAGAGAGTCTGCTGTGAGTCTGTGCTGGCAACAGTGGATGGAAACTAAGAGTCTCTGCTATAGAAAGCTTACTCACATGAACCAGAATCAGGACTGTGTGCAGCTCATTCGCAAGGTCTCAGAAGGAAGACACGCAGTGCCCGCTAGCCTGTTTCCTTGGTAAACCTTCTCAGACTGGTGGCCTTTGCCCTCTGAATCTCCAGCACTAGATGAGTCCTTCTCATTTCAAGCCAATGAAATGCTCCCGAGCTTCAGTTAAGTGCGAGAAACCATGCAGGCCACTCATTAGCTTCAACTGGCCTAATTGTCACTTCATAGTTTTCATTGCTACTGTACTTTCCACCTGTTAGCTCCATAAAAACAGGGATCATGTCTCAAAACCTTACGGCCCCACAGCAATTGGCTCAATGTTTTCCATAACACAGGAACTCAAGAAGCAATTGATGAATTTATTTATGGCATACCTCTTTGCATGAAGTTCAAAGAAGTCTAATCATTGCAATGCCTGAATCAGAAGCAATGTAATTTAAAGAGAGAACAAAGAAGGGTGTGCATAATCAGTAAACCCACTAACTTGTAAACCTGGGCCCACATGGCTAATGAGACCAAGGACAGGCACCTGATTCGGGAGAAGCCACCATCTGCCAGTGGCTTCCGATCTGGTGGGAAAAGCTGAGTTGGGCTAATCAGGTCCTTTTGTTGAAAGCACCAGAATCAGTCAAGGGACTTGCAGTTGGGGCTGAGTGGGGCAAGCTGAAGGTTCTGTATGCTCTGGGGCTGAGCTGGGAATGCTCAGATCTGTACCAGACAGAAGAGCAGAAGCTACAAGGTGGGAAAGTAGGGAGAGACACAGAGAGCATACAATATAAAACCAAATAAGAGAAGTAACACACAGAAGGAAAGAAAGTCAGATTCTTTTTCTTTTTTTTCTTTTTTCTTTTTTTTTTTTTTTTTTGCTATAGGGCATGTGCACTCACCAGAAAGACAGAGACAGAAAGCGAGAAATCACCCCTAGGGGGGATGGCCACACCACAATCCCTTCTCCATTCTCCTTTTGAGATCTTGGGCATGCACACACACACACTCAGCATGAGTTTAAGCCACCGGGTCCGGGACTCGAACCATGGTTGACTACATAGGAGTCCAGTTACACAGTCATTACATCAACTGCTGGTCCCAAAAGTCAGATTCTAAAGCAATCTTAGATCCTGTTCTTTTTGAAGCCTGGCTGCACTGTTGAGAGTTTCCTACATTCCAACAGGTGAGTCTCTGTTTCTAGGACCACAAGAAACCCTACTAGAACACTTTCCCTTGTGATATCATTTTAGCCTAATCTTTTATCTTCACCTCAAGATTTATTTTATACCCTGAACACATACATGAAATATTGCCAGATAGTCTGAAAGACCTCTGATCTTTCTCTTTTTTTAGAATTATTTTATTTAACTTTATTTATTTAATTTGACCAGAGAGGGACAGAGTGAACGTGAGAGAGAGAGGGAATGTGAGAAAGCAAGCCACCAGGTCCGGGACTCAAACCATAGTCAGCCATGTGTGGGAGTCCAAGCCCCTTAACCATCACACCACCTGCCGGCCCCCTGGCCTTTCTTTGATTAACTTTAAATCATGCCTAACTGTAAGACATGCAAGGAGTCAGCGAATGACAAAGGATATTCTTGGAAATAAACAAGTAGTTGAACAAATTGGATATTCCTTTTTGAATAAGAACCGTTGCCAGGATATTTCAGAGAGACATAAGCTGCTAAATATGAACCTAATTTCATAAAGTTAGACAAATGGGAGACATTTCTTCTTGATTACAGGTTACAGTATGCCCAGAAGGAGGATAGATGTTTAAGTTAGAAGAAAAGGGCATTTTGTTCCAACTAGTTTTCCAGAACCTTCTCCCAGTGAATTCCCCATTTAGCCTGTGAGCCATTTTATGTGCAACAGTCCTCGTAATTCAAAAATTTAATGTGCAAAAATCACAATGATGACTTAGAGGTGCGGGTAGGGTCTTCATCTGTGTTGTGATACCTGTGGGATACTGTCCCATCTGCTCGTACTGACTAAGTGATACCTGTGGGATACTGTCCCATCTGCTCATACTGAGTAGAGAAGTTAATCATGTGTCAGACATAAGGGGTCTTCACAAAGTTCATGGAAAATTCGTATTACGTAAAATCGATGCATGGACTTCACACCTTTTTTGCACCAAGATAAACTTTTATTCCATCTTTCTACTAACTTTTGCATGGCCCAACAAGTGAATCTAATAGACCTTTAGCACAGTTATGGATACATTTATCATCTTTAGTCTCTAAGTTCGTAAAAGAGATGGTACTTTTTTTATTGGAGAGGTTTTTTTTTGTTTTTTTTGTTTGTTTGTTTGTTTTTGCTATAGGGCGCATGCGCTCGCCAGACAGAGAGAGACAAAGAGAGATAGAAAGCAAGAAATCACCCCCCAGGGGGGATGGCCACGCTGCAATCCCTTCTCCTCCATTCTCTGCTCGGGATCTTGGGCATGCACACACACGCGCCCGGCGTGAGTTTAAGCCACTGGGTCCAGGACGTGAACCGTGGTGGACTACTAGTTAGTATGGATTGTCTGTGTAGACTGGCATTAGCAGAGTATTTCTCCTTTTTTTCTTTCTTCCCTTCCTCAAAAAAGATTAACTATTTTGCCCTATATCTGGGGGCCCGCAGGTGGCATAGTGATTACAGTGCTGAACTCCCACATGGCCAACCACAGTTCTGGACCTGACGACTTGAAAATCATGCTGGGGGCGTGTGGATATGTGCCTAAACTCCCAGGAGAAGAATGGAGAAGGTATTGTGGTGTGGCCATCACCTGGGGTGGTAGTGGGGGGAGTGATTTCTCACTTTCTCTCTCTCCATGTCTCTCTGGCAAGAGCATCCACCCTATGGGAAAAACCTTAAAAAAAAAAAAAACAGAACTGACACTGAGCATTGGACATCTTTATCTAGAGAACAAAGACCTTAAAAAGTACAGGAAGATGCAAAAATGTGGGGATTTGAAAGACTGGACAGAATGAAAAAGCTATATATAAGTCCTGCCAATTAAGATACGATACAACCGTTAAAATCAGTAGAGAAGAGACCATGAAGACAAGATTTGGTGACGACCCCTTTTCTAAAAGTTAGGGCTCAAAGGGGATCATTTAAAAGTGACAAGTCATGGGATCGCCAGGTGGCGTGGAGGTTGAGGGCACTGAGCTCCCACATGGCCGACCATGGTTTGAATCCTGACTGAGCTGCTTGCTTTCTCACTCCCCCCAACCCCTTCTCTCATTCTGTCTCTCCCTGGTCAAAATTAAATAAAGAAATAAAGTTAGATAAATAAATAAATAAATAAATAAATAAATAAATAAATAAATTTAAATTAAATAATTCTTTTTTTGGAAAGGTTTTGCTGTAGGGCTCATATGCTCACCAGAAAGAGAGAGACAGAAAATGAGAAATCACCCCCACGGGGGGGATGGCCACACCACAATCCCTTCTCCTCTATTCTCCTTTTGGGATCTTAGGCACACATGCACATGTGCTTGGCGTTAGTTTAAGCCACCAGGTCTGGGACTCGAACCACGGTTGACTACATGGGAGTCCAGTGACATAGCCATTATGCCAACTGCTGGTCCTAATAAAATAATTCTTAAAAAAAAAAAAAAGGTGACAAGTCAGAAATGGAAATTAGATCACATCACTTAGCTCTCCTGCCCATTCCTTCCCTGTAGCTTCCAATTGCTGTTAGGATACAATCTCATGTGTCAGACCTTGTGCGTCATGGTCCTGCCTAACCCCAGTGCCATCTCTACCCACCTGTTATCACCGGTCCTCAGCCTTGCTTGGTTCCTGCGTGTTATTGGCTGCCTCCTGTCTTTTACATGTGCCCGTCCCTTAGGATTCAGAAGTACTATATGACACGCTTCTCTCCCCTCCACCCTCTACTTTTACTCTCTGTCTAAATGTCTCCAAGATAACCTGTCCTGACTCCTCAACTGAAAGCAGTTAATTATGCCCAATGCATTTTCCATCACAATGCTCACTACAAATTTGGGTAATTGTTTCTTTATTATCTGCCACTCCAGCAAGACTGTAAACTCCAAGAAGGCAGAGCTAAGTCTGGAAAACAATTAAACCCTCGGGCCTAGCACAGTTATGGGCGTGTATTAAGTGTCTAATAAATATTGACCAAGATACTAACAAAATAGCTTTAACCCTATAAACTGCTCTCTCTGCTACATCTCTTCTGTACTTACAACACAATATGATAAGAAATCACTTCTAAAAACAAAACTGAGAGGCTATAAGATCCTTAAAACATTCATTTTCATATGTTCCCTTTACTAAGACAGGGAAGATTAAAAATGCATTTTTGAAATATTTTCAGAGAGGACTGATTTTACTGATAAATTATTAGTTCACTACAAATACAGAAGATTTTGTGTTTTAGATACGGTAGGTTTCAGCAAAATTTTATTATATGTTCCTATATATTATGGGAAATAAGTGGGTCATTAGAAAAGTCATGACATACTTTTCTGTTTTTCTGTGCAAAAATGCATCATGATCTCTCTGACAATTCATTATTTGTCATACAGAGACATAAAGCATACAAGTAGAAAACTGTTCACTTACTTTGGATGTTCAAACTTGTCTATAAGATCAACCTTTTCCACTAGGTCTCCTCCAATTGTTCGGACCAAGTCATAGAAATCATTCTCTGTGTAATTCTCAGAGGGTAGCCAGAACGAAATGTCGTTTATCACAGCAGGATATTTGCTAAGAGGCTAACAAACAAGAGAAGAAAAGATAGATAGACTCATTAGTTGTATGAGGATACTCAAATTTTTCACAGAATATTTCACCTGGTTAACTAAGAAATGGTGGCAGAACATTATTTCAGCATCTGAATTTTCAGAAACAAAATGAACTTACAAGGTAAATCAATAGTCAAAATTAGCAAAATTCCATTATGAATGTTATAGATTCTTATCACATTCACATGTAACAGTACCATATATCTCCATTGATGTTCAATTTAGTCTAAAGCAATTTAAATATATCATATTTCAGTTTTTCCCATTTGAATACTAGCTGAGGAAAGCTTAAATTTAATTAACATGCGATTCATTAACTTCTTGTGATATTTTCAGGAAGCCATTTTAATAGGGAAACAAGTAAGGGCTTGTCAAAATTGATGTTTCAATTAGTAATGTTATTATTGGTTAGTATTTATAATTATTAAAATAAAGGACTGGGTTGGTAAGTAGGCATTTGGGGAGTTATTTTTCAAATGATGCCTTTAAGGAGATGATAAAAACAAATGTAGTCATTTCCTGCATTTTATTCTATTTTCCCAGTGTCTATATATTAACCACAACTACACACACACACACGCATGGATGCACACATAGATATAGATATGTTTTGGCCCATAAGTTATTACCACAATAAAAAAAGGTTTCATTATGTAACTATGAAATCCTAAGTGAATATCTGCTGAAGCTATAAATTTTTTAGACAGGAAAATTTATAAATTGATTTATGCCAAGCCTGATATCACCATAAAACTCTTTGGTGAATCATGGATCAGAAAAAAATATGTAACTTTTAAATGGCAACATCTCTGAAGCACTAAACACTCAAACATAAGTGATTATTCAGTTTGAAATATCAATCAAGTTGTCAATCAAATGCTTCAGTTTAGAACACACATTTTTTAACAAATGCAATAAAGCCACCATCTAGGTTCTCTTGATAAAATAGCTCAGCACTGAAAAAACACCCTGTTGTCTCTCCGAAAGTCACGATGATGTCTAAATCAATGGGTTAGTGTACACTAGGACCGGACAGGGATTTCATGGTCACACAGTTGCTTTTCCTTTTGACAATACCCTTTTGTCAAAAATGTGGAAGTTTAGGGAGATTAGTTAAGAAACTGGGATTGCCAAGGATTAGCATGAAATCTTCTCTATAACTAATCCAAACAGAGGACCACACTTTTGGTTCTTATGCGAGGAAAAGTGAAAGAGAGATAAATGGAAGTTGTCCCAGCTGAGCATCCGTGTTAGCAATCCATGGGGAACAGTCAGTGTGGTAACACACAGTCAGCCAGGACACTGTCCCCTAGACATTTAAAAGAACATATATTATGGCAAGTACAGTTATAAAAACCATGGGGTTAAAAGGAAAAACTGTCAGATAAGTTATTGTATAGCCAATCTATTTCAAGCTAAATGAATGAAATGAAACGAAACAGGTTTAAATAGTTTCACATCGGGAAGCATTCACTCCTCTAATAGGTAGCTGTCAGACGTGGGATACCTATTAATGGCCAACGGTTTTTGTAAGTAGGAGAAATAAAATTTTACTGTAAAGAATAAGGTAACTATGGGAACCAGCAGTTAGCATAATGGCTATGTCGCTGGATTCCCATGTAGTCGACCGCGGTTCGAGTACCGGACCCGGTGGCTTAAAACTCACGCCGGGCGCGTGTGCGTGCGTGCCCAAGATCCCGAGAGGAGAAGGGAGGAGAAGGGATTGCGGCGTGACCATCCCCCCTGGGGGGTGATTTCTCGCTTTCTGTCTCTCTGTCTCTCTCTGTCTGTCTGGCGAGCGCACGTGCCCTATAGCGAAAATCTCTCCAAAAAAAAAAAAAAGAAAAAGGAAACTACAGGGACCAGCAGTTGGCATAATGGCTATGTCACTGGACTCCCATGTAGTCAACCGCAGTTCGAGTTCGGACTTAAACTCAGGACGGGTGCATGTGCGTATGTGCCCAAGATCCTGAGAGGAGAATGGAGGGGAAGGGATATTGCGGCGTGGCCATCCCCCCAGGGGCGATTTCTCGCTTTCTGTCTCTCTCTGTCTTTCTGGTGAGCACACATGGCCTATAGCAAAACAAAAACAAAAACAAAAACACACAAGCAAACAAAACTCTCCAAAAAAAAAAAAAAGAGAGAGAGAGAGAGAAAGAAAAAGAATAAGGTAACTACAAATCCATGGTTACTAAGATATAGACTTTCACGTGCTTAATCTTCATTGGTGTTGAAAAAAAAAAAAAAGCAAAACTACCCAGTGACTTTGCATTGTTGCATAAAGTGCCAATTTCCACAAACTTCCACTTCTTTCTGATGTTCTCTAAGCTCAGGTCAGTCTGGCTTACCCGGTATCTTGTACAAACTGAGCTACTTCCTCCACATACCATTACCTGTCTTCTCCACTCCACTTCTGACACTCAGTTCCCATGTCCACTTCATATCCTCCTCTCCTCCGTCAGCCCCTTATTATGGCCGAGAACTTTTCATCCTTGTCATTGTGAAATTACTCCCTTCCTGTCTGTCTTCCCAGGATGTTACAATTTTTAAAGATGGGTGTGAATCTCTCTTTTTTTTTTCAGCTCTGAATATATTCGGTAGTCGGAAAGAGTCATGACATATATTTCTATGTTTTTCCATGCAGAATTGTGTCATGACTTTTCAGATGACCCAGCATTATTTTACCCAGTCCCTGTTTGGCTGCAGGTGTTGAACACCACCATGGAACAGCTCTGCCTTGTGTGAGCGAAGGCTATGCTAGAGCTGTTTTTCCATCTCTAACTGGGCCCACTAATGGACACACCAGGTAAGTAAGGCATGAGAGTTACCTGCATCCATGGCCTATCTTGTGATAGGGTTTACAGCCAATTGGAATGAAAGCCTAGAGCTGGAAAGTCAAAGGGAATTGATAGGGACTGGATAACCTACAATCATAGAATCATTGAATTTCAGAATCAGAGGGTACCTCAAAAGGTATCCAATACTCTATTTTCTTTCTCTTCCTTTTAGTTTGCCAGAGGGTACATGTGCTTGCCAGAGAGAGACAGAAGTGGGAGGAGAGAGAGAGAGAAAGTGAGAAAGCACCCCCATGGGGGTGATCATGCCACATTCCCTTCTATATTTCTCCTCCTTCTTGGGATTTTGAGCATGCATGCACATAAGCCTGGTGTATTAAAAGTCACTGGATCTGAGACTCGAACCTCACAGTCAACCATGTGGAATCCACCTGCCTTAATCACCATGCCACCAATAGGCCCAATATTATATATGTTTTCTCATTTCTTTTCCTTTAAACAGAGGTGTGCCCATTTTATTATAATCGTTTTATCAGATAACCATGTATTGATTAGTTCTTTGGATCCTCCATAGTTTTTGTATTTTTAAAAAATAATTGAGAAAGACATCAAAACTACACATGGAGCAAACACTTCAAAAGTCCCAAGTGAATATTATATGAACCATTATACATAACAATGAATTTGAAAGCTTGGATTAAATGGATAATTTTCACTCAAAATCAAAAACTTAAATGGATGACTACATATCAAACGGAATTACTGGTCAAATTTCCTTACAACAAAAATGTGAATGGATAGTCCACAATGTAACTTCACTAAACGTTTAAAGTGAATTAGTTCCTTTTGTCTATGAACTGTTTCATGAGATGTAAAAGGAGAGAAACCTAACACATTTTATGAGGTTGCTCCAAGTTTGAAGCCCAAACTAGGCAAGCACGGTACAATTCATTAAAAATTTTAGACACCTGTCATTTTATAGCCTATACCTCCCCCCCCCCCCCCCCCAAAAAAAAAAAAACTAGATAAAACTTTAGTGAACACAATTCAATAGCATATTCAACATGATATTACAAAATGACAAGTAGGGTTTACTCTAGAATTATGGGAATGATTCAAAATAAAAAAATAATCTACTAAGCAACATATGAAAACTCACACTGGATGCATGTGAGTGCATGCCCAAAATCCCAAGAGGAGAATGGAAGAGAAGTGATTGTGGCATGGCCATCTCCCCTAAGGGGTGAATTCTCACTTTCTGTCTCTCTATCTCTCAGGATACTATATGTGCCTTATAGCAAAAATCTCTCTTAAAAATTCTAATATTATTCTCTTTCTGAATAAGAAGATATATGTAATATTCTGTTCTTTAAATAAAAAATGTGTATACAAAAGGATTTGTTATCTTTAATAAATTGTTCTAACACCTGTATTTAGTATCTCTGTTCCTAAGTTAAAGAAAATCATTTTCTTTAGGAGTCCCTCTTCCCAACTACACATCTTCCTGATTATTATCTTTTAAAAAAGCACACACAAGTTTATGTCAACAATTAATTTCAATTTTATTTAAAATTTCTATTTTTAAATTCTATATTTGTTTCTTACATGCCACCTCTTTGTTAGGAAATAATTCTCCATGGAATTTCACACAGCTGGTGACAGCGTGTAAACCAAGCAGTCTTGAGAGACAGAGGTAATCTTTCTCTCAGGGGCAGAGAGCAGATTTGTTGCCTCACCAGGATAATGAAGATAAAGTCTTTTTCAGAAGCAAGATTGGGCAGATTTGCTAACAACCCATTTAAATGATTGAGAAGAAAACAAACCAAAGGAGCCAAAAAAAAAAAAATACAAGAGTCTTCCTAATAGCCAGTGTATATGCAGTATCCCCAAGCTACTCCGCATGCTGGGATTGAGGGTTAGAAGATCAATGTGAACAGGAACTCATCCACCTCTGCTCTGTGAATAGCAAAGTCAGTTTGTCTCTGAGGCAGGAGTCTCGTGTCATTCTACCCATGCGTATGAAACCATAACGGGCTACCTTGTCAACCTGGAGGTGGAGTAAAATTATAGGCCTTTCCCAAACCGAACACCTTTCCTTCTTTTTTACTTTTGCTCTCTCAGCTGAATGTTCTTCGAGAGTTTCTCTAGTGAATGTCTGTGGGAGGCAATACTTTG